TAATAGTTAATACTAGTTGTATGTTCACACTTTACTATCAAAACCACCATTTTGACCACTCATGTGCCAGTTTTCAGTGTTTGGGCGAGCGGTCGGTGTTTCAATGAGCGAGCGAGCGAACAAACAACGCGATTAAAATGCGGTCGGTTACCGGTCGGACGAGACCGCATGGTCGGAAATTAAGCGATAAGCGGTCGATGTAAAAGCGGAAGGTTGGGCGAAATGAGTACTGTATGACCATGTTTCTCCGACCACTCTAGTACGTCCATGCTCCGACGAAGTCACGACTGACAATAATGCTGACAATGGACGTTAGATAAACACGCATTATATCAAAATCGTCAACAGAGTATACAGATAAGATGTTAAGTATCATTTAAACCCTTCCAAAGATAAACGTTATGTAAATATCCACGAAACGGTAATTGTAGTCTTTTCTGCTAGCGTTTAAAAAACACTAATTTAAACAACGTTATTTCGCGATTTCGATCTTTTGTAAACCTGGGATGATGTATCAAGGTCTAAAGTGACCGTTTTATCAATATTTGAAAAATCAAAAAAAAGGTTAAAATTTCCCTTCACGCTACCTTAAAACAGTAGTCGAAATTAACAACCTGCACAGTAATTATGATTATTTTTGTATAATCGCATGTATTATTATTAATTAATAAATCACGCAGTCAATATACATTGTATGTTTAATAACGGATGGCGATATCCCGGTTACTAACCATTACTAATATCTAACTTAACCCCGGGTAAACTACAAGTTCCTTTGCGGTGACTGTAAACAATCTGTGAAAAGTAATCAGAAATATTTACGTCTCGTAGTCCATGGTTTCATTGAAAATAAAAACGGCGTTGGAATGTTTCTGAAGGACATTGAACTGGCACACGTTGTGCAATCAAGCTAGAGGAGGAAATTCTTGCGCTGACTGTTTTATTACATACTTCGAAGTGTACTATATGTGAATCTTACCATCATTTCGACTGTATTCGTTGTATGTTACACACTTTTTGTTGTTTTAAGATAGTTGCTCGTAACGAGTAAAGTTATGCTGCATGCAGTGTACATATCATTCTGGATCAGAACATCAAGAACCACAGAGGGCACGTTTTCAGAACTAAGCGCGCCCTCTACAGCCGGACGATGTTCGTTCCCTGCAAACTGTTCTAAAAGGGTTGGGGAGGGGGGTTACAAAATCATAGTCAAAATTACAACAAACGAGGAAATTAAACGGATAATGCAAGCATACGCACATGTACAAGAAAACGATGTTTGTAAGTTAATGTTTATTACGGGCAGTTCATCGCTATTCACAACACACAGGGCACACAGTCATGATCATAAAAACGGTGTTTTGAAAATCACCAGTCAGTCAATCAACAGTACGCCTTATCAACCCATCTTGCAACAATATTTATTTAATTATTGTACACTGAACAGTGTTTTGAATAAATGCGTATACAAATAAGACCACTACATTGTCAGAAAAACAAATCTATGAAAATAATACGCATGATATAATAGTATGAATGATTTGCATATAAATTAAATGCAAACTTCCGAATTTAATATTATGTTACTTGCTTTATCTGCCCAATCAGATCTCTGAAATTATAGGATCATCTGTATGACAAACTACTTAGGTGACCTCAAATCGGGGCCTCGCAGTACGTCGATGGACCATTCCTGGCGTTTCACGTTAGGGTTACCTGATACCATTTTAGTTAAGACATATAAAGAAAGGAATAATATAATATTAATAGTCGTATTGTACTGAAAACATATAGCTTTTAGCAATGTTATACTTATTTACAACGCATTGAAAATGCTGAAGTAAAACTGGATAGCCGTTTTTGGTTCCGATTAAGTAAGGTGCACACTACGATATAGAAAATAAAGAACTTAAGATATTAACTTATTTCAAACGCTGTATGGGTTGAATTAGGGTATGTTGCTTGGCTTTGAGAGTGGCTTCTTGCCATCAACTGTAGTGTTGCATTGGCTTTTAGAGTGCCTTATTGCCATCAACTGTAGTGTTGCATTGGCTTTGAGGGTACCTTCTTGCCATCAACTGTAGTCTTGCATTGGCAACAACTTGCCTTCTTGCCATCAACTTGCATTGGCTTTGAGAGTTCCTTATTTCCATCAACTGTAGTGTTGCATTGGCTTTGAGAGTGCCTTCTTGCCATCAACTGTAGTGTTGCATTGGCTTTGAGAGTGCCTTCTTGCCATCAACTGTAGTGTTGCATTGGCTTTGAGAGTGCCTTCTTGCCATCAACTGTAGTGTTGCATTGGTTTTGAGAGTACCTTCTTGCCATCAACTGTAGTGTTGCATTGGCTTTGAGAGTGCCTTCTTGCCATCAACTGTAGTGTTGCATTGGCTTTGAGAGTGCCTTTTTGCCATCAACTGTGGTGTTGCATTGGCTTTGAGAGTGCCTTATTGCCATCAACTGTAGTGTTGCATTGGCTTTGAGAGTGCCTTCTTGCCATCAACTGTAGTGTTGCATTGGCTTTGAGAGTGCCTTCTTGCCATCAACTGTAGTGTTGCATTGGTTTTGAGAGTACCTTCTTGCCATCAACTGTAGTGTTGCATCGGCTTTGAGAGTGCCTTTTTGCCATCAACTGTAGTGTTGCATTGGCTTTGAGAGTGCCTTCTTGCCATCAACTGTGGTGTTGCATTGGCTTTGAGAGTGCCTTCTTGCCATCAACTGTAGTGTTGCATTGGCTTTGAGAGTGCCTTCTTGCCATCAACTGTAGTGTTGCATTGGCTTTGAGAGTGCCTTCTTGCCATCAACTGTAGTGTTGCATTGGTTTTGAGAGTACCTTCTTGCCATCAACTGTAGTGTTGCATTGGCTTTGAGAGTGCCTTCTTGCCATCAACTGTAGTGTTGCATTGGCTTTGAGAGTGCCTTCTTGCCATCAACTGTGGTGTTGCATTGGCTTTGAGAGTGCCTTCTTGCCATCAACTGTAGTGTTGCATTGGCAACAACTTGCCTTCTTGCCATCAACTTGCATTGGCTTTGAGAGTTCCTTATTTCCATCAACTGTAGTGTTGCATTGGCTTTGAGAGTGCCTTCTTGCCATCAACTGTAGTGTTGCATTGGCTTTCTTATACACTGTAAATGCATTAATCATAAGTTGGGTTTTAATTTCGCTATATATTCTAATAATTATAATCTGCTAATTTAAAATAAAATCCACATGAAATGGAAAACAATAGAACTCATTGTTTCCTGCCAAATGCATAAAAAAACAGTGAAATTGCCCAAAACATCAGAATAATGAAATTAAATGACAGTGAAAATAAATCGTTTGACAGTATACACCTTCCATGTGCTCATAAACGTTCAATTCTCAGGGGATATGTCACAGAACGTTCTATGTTGCTACGATACGCACACTACAGCATTCACACTCCCTTCAATAATGTCCAAGCATCACACTGTGGCATTCCCCTCAAAAATGTCCAGCTATCACACTACAGCATTCACACTCCCTTAAATAATGTCCAAGCATCACACTGTGACATTCCCCTCAATAAAGTCCAGCTATCACACTACAGCATTCACACTCCCTTAAATAATGTCCAAGCATCACACTGTGACATTCCCCTCAATAATGTCCAGCTATCACACTACAGCATTCACACTCCCTTAAATAATGTCCATGCATCACACTGTGGCATTCCCCTCAAAAATGTCCAGCTATCACACTACAGCATTCACACTCCCTTAAATAATGTCCAAGCATCATACTGTGACATTCCCCTCAATAATGTCCAGCTATCACACTACAGCATTCACACTCCCTTAAATAATGTCCATGCATCACACTGTGGCATTCCCCTCAAAAATGTCCAGCTATCACACTACAGCATTCACACTCCCTTAAATAATGTCCAAGCATCATACTGTGACATTCCCCTCAATAATGTCCAGCTATCACACTACAGCATTCACACTCCCTTAAATAATGTCCAAGCATCACACTGTGACATTCCCTTCAATAAAGTCCAGCTATCACACTACAGCATTCACACTCCCTTAAATAATGTCCAAGCATCACACTGTGACATTCCCTTCAATAAAGTCCAGCTATCACACTACAGCATTCACACTCCCTTAAATAATGTCCAAGCATCACACTGTGACATTTCCCTCAATAAAGTCCAGCTATCACACTACAGCATTCACACTCCCTTAAATAATGTCCAAGCATCACACTGTGGCATTACCCTCAATAATGTCCAGCTATCACACTGCAGCATTCATTGTGAGATGAGTGATGCATCATGGGAGTAAACAGGCTATAGTCTTTCTGAGAGGCAAGACACCTTGCATTGTGAGATGAGTGATGCATCATGGGAGTAAACAGGCTATAGTCTTTCTGAGAGGCAAGACAACTTGCATTGTAATATGAGTAATGCATCATGGGAGTAAACAGGCTATAGTCTTTCTGAGAGGCAAGACACCTTGCATTGTGAGATGAGTGATGCATCATGGGAGTAAACAGGCTATAGTCTTTCTGAGAGGCAAGACAACTTGCATTGTGAGATAAGTGGTGCATCATGGGAGTAAACAGGCTATATATATCTCTATATCTATCCAGTATCTCATAATTTTGATTGGTGACATATTGTGAAATAAGATATATTGTGTCATACAATGTACAATATATTAAAAATGACAATATTTTTGGTGGGTTTTAAAGAGGAAATGTATTTTTATTATAATCTATGAAACCGCTGCTAAAATGACATTTGATGTATATTAGTTTATTGCTTTTCTCAAAAAACAGATTGACAGTGAAACAAAAAAAGTTTACATCCTAATGACTAATACTAAAATGAATAATTGTAGACAGATTTTGATACAGAATATTACCAATGCCATACATGAATGCACTCAAATTCTGTACACAAGTGAAAAACTTGTGAGTAGCATTCTCCCTTAAAGTTTAGCGATCTACACACAAATTAAAAACTTTTCTTCCCATCAAATTGAGGAAGCACGTAAATTATTTTAAAATAATTTCTCAGAATCATTGATCAAGCAGTAGTATGTACCGGTAAGTAAAGTTTTGAGAAAACATTAAATTTCTTACACATACAAGTTAAATCATCAACCACACAAACTACAAAACATAGACAGGCTGCACAAACAGGGAATAAAAACTTGATTGCTTGGCTAATCTAATCCAATACTTGTTTGTGGAACACCATCTCTTTTCTGTTTACTTTCCTCCATCTTTATCTTAGCCTGCTGTAAATCTGCCAACATCAATGGACGTAACATATCAAACTCCTGCATTGAGCTGCAATATCAAATTAAAATGGTAAACTTTATAATCCATGTTGGGAAAAATATGAATAATTATGTACCGGTATATTACCACCTCATATTACTATGGCAGGTTGAAACAAACAATTGCTATTGAGAAGCAAAGGAATGAATGATCTACAACATTTTAATTTTCTTAAAAGTGAAAAAAAAATCTTTAATACTGAGATAGAGAGACTTTTTAATACTGAATTGTGGAATAATATTCTTTATGGACTGGA